CTGCATGAAGATGTGCTGAAAGCATTCCAAAGTCTCAACGACACGACCCAGGACAAGGCAGTGAGGCTGTAACCGATGACTGATCGCAAATAAGTGATTGCGGCTTCATGGAGAACTCTTGACGAACCTCCACCGGGGTTTGATTAGTTCAAAGTGGACAACAGCCGCAGCTTCTTTGCCACCACGATTCAAGAGGATGCGCTTTCATGGACGCCACCCTGATTAATTTTCGCCTAGCAACGGTTGTACTCAGCATGACCAGCGTTTGGACCTCCAGAACCTGTCTGAGCCAATGCCGCCTCTGGGCAAGCCCCTTGCCTCCGTCTTCCACTTCCGGAGAAGTTGGATGGCAGCCGCCTGGCGCTTGGATTCCTGGCGCCCGCAGCTCGTCCAACGCATCGGTACCGTTGCGACTCGCCTCGCATACCGTGCATACCGTGCATAACGAGCATAACGAGCATGACGAGCATGACCAGCGTGACGAGTACTCGGTGGGCCCTTTCCTGACGATGGAAATCCCGGGTCCTTCCGCAGCCGCTCGATTTCCTCCGAGGCACTTGGCTCCTGTCGGATGGTCACGCATTGAGAAGCTGCACGCTGAGCACCCGAGTGGGTTTTTACTGAACGCTGAGAGACAAAAGCTAAGACACCCAAAATGAATCTCCCTGAAAAAACCTGCTAGCGCGGAAGTCTGGAGGCAGCGAGCCAAACTGCTGTCCTGCACCGGAACACGATGCCGCGACGCCTGGCGTCAGCAAAGCTGCTACGGGGGATATGAGCAAATCCGCACAGGCCATGCTCCAAACACCTGGCCTGCAAATTTGGGGAATGGAAATTGGAAAGACTCAATTTGGGGATTGGTTTAATGGTAGAAGTCCCACAAATGCCGAAGTCTCATTGAACATGACCCCTTATCCTGTGTGCGCGTGTGTGTGTGGCATCTACAAACGTCTTGATGGCCCATATCCGACTCGAAACACGAGGATAGCTCCCGACGGCCCTTCCACTCGCCTGTTGGGCGTGCGCCAAAGCCACCTGGATGTCCTGCGGCACTGGGGCCTCTCATTCTTCAGTGGTGGGAAGGGACTCGAAAACCTGGCCCGTGTCAATGAATCTAATCCTGTTCACCGAACATGTTACCAGTTGCCAGCATTCTAGGTTGCAACACAATCTGGGGAAAAGAACCGTGCCACTCCTGCCACACGGCCGCCACTTCCAGCTCCCTTCTGTGTCGTGCCGCAGCAAGGCCTGAAAGGAAGAGATGTGGCAACACCTTGAGTCTCACCAGCATTGCACATGATACAACGAGCTTGGCCGCTGGACAGGCACTTGAAAGATACAAATTCGCGTCGCACGTGTCGGTCCTGCCATTTGCTCGTCAAGAGCTCGACACCTTGGCATGGACAGCCCGAGCTGCACAAGGCGATCGCCTACAAATCGCGACCAGCTGACCGGCAAGCCTCTAAGCCGGCGCCGGAACTTTGCGTCATAGCCGTGAACGGAGATTGCAAGTTTGCAAGCGCGAATTCACGAGGAAACCGCTCCAGAGCAGGTGCAAAGGCCTTCCCCGAGCTTCGCGCTCCGCCGCCACGGCCTCGGTCTGCATCACGACATGCGCGGTGCGCCGCTGGACGTCCTGGCAATGCGAGCGGTGGGCACCCGCACGCCATGCGCCATGCTGCCATTGACATGTGGTTCTGATACACAGTCGCGTCCATCCCTTTCTCACCTACAGACTCGATCAGAGGACAGTTGCATTGTTAGGATCCCTTATGATCATGTGCAACTGATTTCACTACGGGGGCTTTTGCGCATCCATGTAATCCCCAAACAGCTAGGTAAGCGGACCGGGCATTGGAGCGCTGCCTCGATTTCTCTTTTTCAGGGCCACTTGCCTCGGCGTGTTTGCCACTGGCGGGTGGTCGGGATGGCCCGCGCCACGGTTTCTGCAACCGGAAAAAAGCAACAAACGATGCCAGGACCTCCGACCCAGTTGCCCCACGCCCACTTCGACGCCTGCAACGCCTGGCGGAGCTCCGCGACCTGCATAGCCACCCACCCCACCCCCCAAACAAGGCCTCACAATACCTGCACTAACCTTATGACTCGTAGGACTCAAACCAGCCATGGGCTATTTCTGCACATCAATGTCAGATTAGGTGGCAAGCGCCGCAGCCAGCCACCCCGGCCCTCCAGCCACTCTGTCATTCTACCGCGGGCGCGCCGTAGTGACGTCCTCTTTCACCTTGACCTGCTTCCAGAGACGGCGCCCATCAAAATTCAGCAATCCAACCGAGGATCCGCGGATTCATCCATAAAACGGGCCACCAGGTGTGAACAGATTGCTTCTTTGCTTCCTTCCCTTGACGCGTGCGGCCTCCTTTGGCTCATGCGGCAGCTTGCCGGTTGCAGCCAGAACCTGAGGGCGCAAGGCAGGTTGCCCAGTTGGCTTTTCCCCCTTCCAAATTTGAGGTGGGATCCATGGTCTTGAGGACTCTGATAGACACACGATTGCATGGCTTCAGCGTTGTCCAGGATCAATTAATGACAGCTGACAAACTACAAAATCCAATCCCGAAGAACCCTGCAAGGGGCTGCGAGCTGATGCTTACACGCCTGACAGCCCTCCCACTCGTGCTTGGGCTGCAAAATAAAGACCACCCAATTCGGACCGCGCAAAGAAAACCTCAATCCTTGCTCAACTAGTCCTTTAACTTATCAATGTTGCTCTTCTTCCTCCTCCTTCTCCCTATTCTCCTTCTCCTTTTTCTTCCTTATTCTCCTTCTTGTGCGGCTTGTTTGCAAATCCAATGCAAGCGCACAGCCCAATGGGCAAACACAGGTCCTTTCCCCTCCCTTTTTCCCAGCCCCGCCGCGGCGAACAGCGCGGCGCTGGCCGACTGCCCCGGGCTCATCTCCTGGGAACGTTCCGCGGCACCCGGCGGACATCATTCGGCCATGGGTCGAAATCCAAATCGTACCCCAGTCCAATCCCCACTAAAATGGCCTAAAATGGGTGGTACCATTAGTTTTGACCCACAGCCATTTAGCTGGGGATTTGTTAATTTGTGTCCAGCCATTCTGAACAGCGTTCCTCATGCAGGGAAACGTTTTGGTATCTCATTTAATAGAAGAGCACAAGGCGGCACCAGGTTGCCAACGGCCCATGTGAAAGATGGCCCTGAACGTCATAGGGAGGGGTATGTTTAATAGCATGTCACCTCCATTATTCGTTCATGCAGCACTTCATAAGGGTTCTGCATGGTTCACGACATCTGCCAGAAGCAATCATGGGCACAGGTTATCACCTGGAACAAGAGTATGACTCTATCCTGAAAGTGGGAAATTTGAGAACGGATCAGGGCCTAATCATAGGTTGGGAAAGAGCAACAGACAAATTCTACGAACTGGTTCCTTTTCGGATGTTGTTAGTAACTGTTAGTATTTGCTTGTGTCCATTTAGTTTGGCCTTCTGCAAGAGGAGGCCCCCTCACTGCCCTAAGAGCGCACATAGACCCCAAGACAACTTGGGAACAACCCAAGGGAACAGCCTGTGTGTTTCGGTGGCAATGTTGAGGGAGCCAATCGAGCTGTCATGTCCGGGGCTTTGTCAGTTCAATGCGAGTTGATATGTGATGGTTCTGAGTACTGGTCTCATCAAACAAGATTCTCTTGGGACCAATTTCAGCTGCGCCCAATGGTGGTTGGGGTTGCCGCCAAATCACTTTGAAACCCCCTGCTCCGTGATGTTTGCCACTCGACAAGTGTCTCTTGCACAACTCAGTTCAGCTGAAATCCCCAAACGTTGATGAACAACGGGCCCCACACGAATTCAGGTTCTGGAAGGAGATGTGAGTCAACCTGAGCGCCTCTTGGTCAATTTCATCCATCATAAGAGGCACAAGAACTGGTGGGTCAAAAGATAAACGGCAGCATCCCTTCTTCCCGGATAGCAGGCTATGCTGTGGTTTTAAGTAGGGGAGTGCGTGATGCAAACATTGCACAGGGTTGCGGGTGCTGTTGCGGGTGCTGTTGCGGGTGCTGTTGCGAGAGTGCGGCTAACACTGGAGCGGTTGTAGGGCAGTGACGCAGAGTTGCAATGGAGGCCACAAAATGTCAATGCACGTGTTGAAAGAAAAGACTTTTGGAATGTGTATTATATATCAATGTGCAATGTTGATTCGTTATACCTCTCTGACTTGGTGGGGGGGAACATATCTTGAATTAAGTTGTATTGTTCATGCTATCCCATGGTGATAGAAGTCTATATTATTCCTACTCGCTTTGCCCCACAAAATACTAGGATCTGGCGGCGGAAATACGAATATCTATTGCCTTTGCGCATGGCTTGGTGCCAGAAAATACGCTTGCACATGGTTTTGCATACGTAGGTATCCGTTGTTGAGTTCAAGTTGTTTGTTAGTTCCTGGCGCCGGAAAGGCTGCATCCATGTTCAGCAAAGCTCCTTTGCGTGTCCCTAGTTGGTTTATCGCTGATGAACACTGATGTTATTTGCGCGGAATGCCTTGATCTATCTTTATTTGGTCTGGTGCCATAGAGGTAAATCATCCATCGTCATCCTTTCTTGGTTGGAAAACGATGCTTAAATTACCTTTGCTGCTGGTTCGTTGTGGGTAAACCGCCATTTTGCATCTTGTGGGTAAAAGGTGTGTGTGTGTGTGTGCGAGATGCCATAAAATATGACCGTCTACTTCGTGAGTAACATGTGTGTGTGTGTGTTTTTTGTTGTTTTGGTTTCGAGATCGAAAAAAAGACACCGTGTATGTTGCAAGACGGATTCTGGAGAAAATAATTGTTCTTTGATGTTTTATCGTATTGGCTTCGCGCAAAAAGTGCCGAGTGCACCAGCCTTGCAATCATGCTGTTGGCATCGGCAGTATGTGACAACCATGTCCATTTAGTTTAGCAGAAACTGTTGAGTGGGCTTTCTGCAGGATGTAGACAAAGAGTTGGACTATGGGATGAATCCAGCTCTGTTTATGCAGAATTCCGCAAAAGCAAGTCGGAGCCATTTCTTATGACATCCGAATGCGACTCTTTTTCGTTTTGGGATGCATCTGTCGGAACTGTATAATAATTGCAGATAACTGCAGTACGTGCTTTGTCCGCTTCAGTCTGGGTCATTGCACTGTACATCAGACCATGAAGTTGAATTGCTTTGTCTTCAGCGCGCAAGATGCACCGGCAAGCACTTTGGATGTTGCCCTCAAGCGCGGCATCAGACAAATCACATGAGGATGCACCGGCAAGCACTTTGGATGTTGCCCTCAAGCACTGCATCGGACAAATCGCATAAACAATGACTTTACAAGCTTGCACGAGCTGTCTATAGCTGGCTAATTCCACACTAAGCTGCCTAATTCTCCAGGCCTTCTGGTGAGCCATCAAGCGATCCAGCTGCGGCAGCTCCGGGAGAATGTCATCAAGGGATCGCAGCGGCTCGACTGAATCTCTTCAAGGACTTGGGTCGACCTTTCAGAACTTCCCTCTTGAATCTCAACTTGAAGGTCTATCTCTTCAACCTGAAGCGCTTGGGTTTCAGGCATGAGCAACGCCAGAATGAAGGACAGCATGCCCACCACTGCCAAGGACAAGAAGGCGGTGGCAAAGCCCAGGCGGCTTGCCAAGATGCCGGCCAGCTCTGAGCTAAAGATGGCGCCCACACTAAAAGCAGCCTGCAGGCAGCCCAAAGCCAAGCTGAAGCAGCCAGTGTTCTCCGAGACATCCTTCGCCATCAGCACCATCAGCATGAGCCAAAGTCCGGCACACACGCCGTCCAGCGTCTCGCAGGGCAACAATGACAGCCACGGGGATCCGCCCGCCTGCACATACCAAACATCTGTTGCGGCTGTCAGAAGAGCGCGGATGGTCACTGTCAGGCAAGCAGTCACAACCAAAGGCTTGCGCCCGAAATCCGCCAGGCGCCCTGCCACCACGGAGGCAAGCAGCATCCCCACATGCGCAATCACCTGCGCTGCACTGGTAAAGTTGATTGCTTGGCCGGGCAGCAAGCGCGAGGCGTCCTGCACCAGCAACTGCAGCTGTGCCATGTTGGCAAAGTTGAAGAGGAAGCAGAGAGCCAGCACAATGAAGAACTTTCGGGTCCACAGTCCGGAGCGACCCTGGTTGGTCACCTCCGATTCAATTGACTCGGCCTCGACTCCATCAGCCCGGAACTCCACCTTGCGCACCATGGGTAAGGCCACAATCGTCAGAACGCAGGCCGCCATGGGCACGGCACTCCACCAGGGGCTCTCCACGTCTTTTCCTCCGGAGGAATCCTTGACGCTGGCAAGGAGGCACATGGCGCCGGAGCTCAGAACGGTGCCCAAGTGTAGACCAACATTGTTCAGGGCCACCTGCCGGGTGAAATTCTCGGCACCCAAGGTGAGAGAGTTGAGAGCCAAGGGCACCAACGTCATGGAAATGGCGGTCGGGACCTGCAGAGCCATCTCCAACCAGAAGAACTGTGGGACAAAGACGCCAATTGCCGCGCTGAGCAAAGCACAGGCGCTACCCAAAGCAACGAGCCGGCGCTTGCCGTGGCAAGCATCCACTAGGCAACCAAGGCAGGGCTGCAAGATAGCCACTACTACCTGCTGTAAGGCATTCAGTGCTCCCAGCTCTCCTGGGTTGTAGGTCCGTGTGGAGTTGGCGGTCAACCAGGCACCTTCGTAAGGACCAAGGAGTTGAGCAGAAGAAAAAAACGACAGCAACGCCAAACCCAGGCTCTCTCGGCTGAGTCCACAGAGGGCAACGCGGCGGAAGGCTTCCCAAACTGTACCGCCGAATCGAGTTGCGAAGCTTTTGACGAGCAGCGCCAGCAGCATCAAACTCAACAAACCCAGTCCAAGTATCCACCCCCAGCTTGGTCCAACGGGTGGCAGGAACAATACTCCGAGGCAGGTGATGACAAGGGTTGGAACCAATGAGAACTTGCTGTAACTGGTCGCAACAAAACCAGTCTCTCCCTCACTTTCAGCTGTGTGAGCCACAATGAGATTTGCAGCACTTCCCAGCATGGTGAGGTTCCCGGAGACAGTGGCCACCCACGCACAAGCCGTCCAAATGCTGGCCACTGATTCAGGCGGCTGCGTTGCCAGCAGAGGTTGGAGCATGAGAATCACCGGCACATTGCTGATGACGTTGGAGAGCAGCAAGACGACAGCTGAAAACCAGAGCATGCACAGCGGCCCCGAGGCTAAGTTCTCAGCGCACGGCCCCAGAATCCCATGGAAGAGCCTCTGTGGCAGGCCAGTATCCACTGTGGCACCCACCAAGATGAATTGGCCAATGAAGAGGATCAAGATCGAATAGTCGATTGCCCCCAGAGCAAACTGCGTCTCAGTGTCGCCTGTCTTGGCAAGCCCAGCGGCACGACGTCGCACAGCACGGATGAGCATCAGGGTGGAGCCGGCAGCAAGGGCCACATCTTCCGTGTTCATATTCAGCATCCACCCGACAATCATAGCAAAGACCACTCCACCCACAGCCACAGCATAGACTGCCTGTAGGCAGCGACTCTCTGGCACTGCGATCTCTACATCAATCTCCGGCTGCACTTCCGGGTTCTCGAACACAAGAGACTTTCGAAAGTAGCACCAAAGAGCCATAGTGTTCAGAGAGAGCCCCCACACCACAGGAAGAAGCATGTCCTTCATGAAACTCAAGAAGCCCATGCCCGGGCTGATGGATGCAATGAGCGCGTTCTGGGGGTTGCCAATGATCGTAAGGCTGGAGCCTATATTCGAACTGGTGGCCACTGCCATCAAGAAGGGCAACGTGCTGATGGCACCTCGGCGCTTGCAGAGGTTTAGCACCACAGGGGTCAGCACCAGACATGTAGTGTCGTTCGTCAGCACCGCGGATGTGGCAGCAGACACACAACACAGCTTCAGGAGCATATTCGTTGGGGAACTCGTGTCCAATCGCTCTTCCATGTACTTCCAAATGCCAGTGTCTTTCAGGTAGGCATTGACAAGCATGAGCCCGAAGAGAAGCGCGATGGGCGTAGGGTTGATCTTGCCGAAGATATCCACCGTCGGATAGTCTTGATCAGGCCACGCCTTGTGGCAAAGCTCCCTTAAGCCACAGGCCATGGCTGCAAAGACCATGGCGATGCAGGGCCGACCCAAGGGAAGATGCTGTGGCCACATCAATAGGGCCCAGGCCACGATGTAAATCGCCAGGTTGCCCCACACTGCCAGCGGTGGGAGCTTCAGAACCCCATTCTGAACATCCATCAGTTCAGCGGCCGCGAAGCTATGCACAAATGCTTCTTGTCCCAACATGGTGAGCTCGATGCAAGCGGTCGCTCTGCCAGTTTGAGCCCAAAACGATCTTGACATCCAAATGCAACTCGATGCATGACACAGCTTCGGAGGGGTCAAATCGAAGTGCGTGCCATCTCCAACAAAGCACGCCATCAACTTCCGATGTTTGACAGAGCTGCGCAACTGCTACAGAAAAGTCTCCCGGTGACAAGATCGCGAGGGCAACCTGAAAAAGAGCTTGAACTTCCTGATTTTAATACTTCATCGCCCGCCTCATCTCGAGAGCTGCTCCGCCTCAAGGATGAGCTGCTGGCCTCAGCGAGCTGCTGCGCTGCAACCCGACGCGTGCGGTGTGAAGCCAAAACAGGGCACCGGCTCGCCTGCAAAACATGCGGCCCTGCCTTTAATTTGAAGCCAGAACCTGGCTGGTTTTAAGGGCATTTGCCAACAAAGTTTTGAGACGCGTGGGATTGCTTTCTAAGAGCTGGCATGGACAAATAGCCGAAGCCCTGGCGGTTCGCGTGCTCAGCTGGTCTTCCAGGCCCTGCGAGTGTGCAGCAAATGCAGCCAGTGTCCAATCAGGGTACCCCCAAAGTGGTTGGTGTAGTGTTGGTTTCCTCTAAAATTGACCAAAGGATCTCCCAAAAGAAAGACACCTTGAAAATTCCGGAATCCAGAAAAAAGAACCAGGACAGCTAACCTCTAGAACCAAACATGTACAGTTTGCGGCACCTGGAACTTGTCTTGCGTTCCCTCTGGAATCTGGGCCCGTGGATTTTCCGAATCACCCTCTCAAGACTTTGTTGTCGCCCATTGACTCTTTAATGGACCACTTTTGCGGCAGCTCAACATGCTCAACTGCACCCACGACAAGTGAAGGATTGAGCACTAAAACTCGCGTTGGGCAAGACGCTTCAATAGTGGCAAGGCCTTCCCTGCCCACAGCCGCACCCGCGGCCTTCTCCTCTGCTTCTCTAGCCCCTGACAGTTTGACGGCGCTTCCAGGTCGGATCAGAGCTCGCCTTTGGTTCGCTTGCAACACACCTGGCAACCTGCCCCCTTGAGTCCTCGCCCGAGCGCCCTTCCCCTCGAGAAGACCCGTCCTCTACTTGAAGTTCGGGCACACATGCATCGCACGGAAAGCTCGTAGGAGTGCTTCCCGCGCAAAGCGCCGTTGTCTCTGGCAGAACATGCATTCTGTTGGCTCGGAGTGTTTGTATGAGGCGGGGCGGCTTGAGGGGAATGATCTGTCCATCTGCTGGGCAGTTGCCGACGAATGCCAAGGCGCTATGCATGACCCAGCAGCTTGAGCTGCAGCGTTTCAACTGCCACTTCGATGCACGAGGGGCGCGCAAACAACCGCTTCAAGGGCTTCACCTTCTTCCCCGCCCAACAGATCTGGGAGGCATTGCCGATTCACCCTCATGCTTTTCTCTCCTGCCTTTTCACCGCTCAGGGCACATACTTCGCGATCATGCAGAGAACTCCGGGCACGCAAGGTCGTGCGAGTGCTCCAAGAGCAGACTGGGCTTGAAAACGTGAAGAGTAAGGGGAGTCCGCTGCGGAACCAGTCCGAGTAGAATAGAACTAAGTCTAGATGACGTTTTCAAGCAGGGTGCAACCATCGCCGCCACTTTGGGCGATGTCTTAAGCTTCTACGTGTCTACACGGAGATCATGCAAGCATAACGCCTGCAAATCAGGTCTTTACTGAAAATACGAAATCCGCGCTTGCGCGTCCGAATGGCCCAGCGTCGACTTCTGGGCCACCACGTGCGCGCCCACCTGAAAGTTTCGGTCCAGAGTTCCCAATCGCAACGTTGAGCAATGTCCAGTTTCGTTGCTGGTATTCTCAACTGACCCAATGTCACCTGGCCAGGCTAAGGGGTGGGGTTCCCTGTCTGAGCCCCCGAGCGTCGCAAGGCTTCGCAATCAGGATTCGGCCTGAAGCTGAAGGGCTGAACGAAGCGGCAGCATACCACCGGTTGCAACACATGTGGCGAATACTCCTCCGAAAATGGGCACCGAACAACACCTGGGAAGGTGAGTCTGAGCGGCCCACCCGGCACCGCGTGATCCTCGCCGGCTTTCAGCATTGCCTGCGGCATGAACCCAACAACCAAGAGCCAGGCAGCAGGGCGGCCAGGCAGCAAGGCAGCCAGGCAGCCACAGCCAAGCAGCCAGGCAGTGCGTCAAAACAACAAAGTAATTTGAACAAGCTAACACGTCAACAAATCAACCTGGTGGTGATTGCTTTCCTGAGAAGCGGCAGAATGCACTCAAGCTTATCTTGGAGAGGCCGATTGGATTGTAAGTTCCTCAATTTCTTTGGCAGATCGGCTGCACGTGGCCTTAGCCACATCTTGCTCCAGCTGGTTCGAAGCCTTGGAAAAGCGGGTGGCAGGCTGGGCTTGTCGCGTCGAGCTAAAATCTTGTAGCCAGCCGGCTGGCTGTACTGGATCATGCAACGCGAAAACGTGATGGGCAGCCTAAAGCTTGAACGACACCGTAGACAAGAAGCCACAGAAAGTGGCAGGAGCCCGATTGCAAAACCATTGCATGAACATCACAAATCTCCACTCAGTGTGCCCCGGCACGTAATCATGTTGCCAGCGTCTGGCGAGCCAGAATCAGGTCCCAACTCTCGAAGCCCGTCGGAATATCAGAACTCGACTCAAAAGCAAAACCGTTCCACGCAGTTCACCCTGGGGCCCAGCGGACTGCGCGAGAACGTCACCCGTCCGGCCCTGCATCAGCGCCAGGACCTAATGCGCCGATGCAAGGTTTTGTGGTGTGGTGCATGTGATGTTTGTCTGGTTTTGGGAGGTTTACACCCGACACTCCTGATGGGGCTCTGTGTTGGCCCAAGGTTGGTCGAGGGTGGATGGCACAACTCCCCTTGTATCAAAATCTTTATGTGCGCAGCCGCAAAATTTCAGACTGGAGGCAGAAGCAAAACAAGTGCTGGGATTAGAAAAAGGATGATCAAGGATGCAAAACGTGGGAAAGAGTTGGTACTCGGAATCTATGTTGGTCACGTGATGACGGATGCTTTGGTACGGATCCTGACATCCTGGTCCTTCAGACCTAAGTTCCTGTCGATTCCCAGGTATCATGTGTGTGTGTGTGTGTGCATGCGGCGGAGCAAGTCCAGGAGCATTCAAGTGCCCCTTTCGGAAGCAACCACGGAGCTGTTTGGGCCAATCCCCTGTTCCCAATAATGGACAAGCTGGCAATGCATGCAAGGTGGCCGAAAACGCAAAACGATTTGACGGCCCTCCAACATGCTGAAACTGCGTTTAAGGTTGCACCTACACACTCAGTCTACATACCATCCGCAGACCTGGATCTCACATTCCTCCTCCGTGCATACAAATCTGTCGACTGTCCATGTCAGCCCGGGCAAATGACAGCAAAGTCCATGAAGGCCAATGCAGAAGAATTGAAACCCAGGAAAAGTCCTGAGGGGCCCTGCTGAGGGCCCGTAGCCCGCAGCGCAGGCGCCCGACGCGCCGGCCCCCATAGCCTTGCCCGACAGTCCCTCAAAATTGCCCTCACCCCTTCAAATCAACAAGCCACCAAACATCTATTTTCCTTGGCAGGCCAACCATCCAGGATTAGCCGATGGCGAGTAAAGGTTGGACAATACAAGGCAATACCAACTGTGCAAGACGCTGGGCATCTCAGGCGTACCAACAAGTTAAGGCTTTTACAGCATGCCACTTCCCAAGCATGTGAATGCAAATGAAGGCCTGCCCTTTCGTGTCTGTACTTCCCTCCACCTTCAAGCGATGGAAAGAAGGATGAGAGAAAGGATACAAATGCTAATCATTCATCCAGTGTCCCTGTTTCGTCTATCCTTTCTCCACTCTTGATTATAGGCTTGGAGACGTACCGGTTGCAGCCAAAACAATACTACCACCAAACGGTCGGTTCTCATGGGATTGGGAGTCGGTAGTCGGTTTTGACGCCAGATTGCCATGGAACGCTTGACCCCGTCTGCTGGCCAAGGCCGTGGCCGCTTGGCACACCGCCTTGATGAACGGAAACTCCTCCGAGATGATGGGCCTCGGTCAAAGGGCGCAAACCACCCCGGCTCATTGCGTGCCAAGATGGGAAGGTGCACTGTGCACGCCATGTATATGTGGCCATAGGTGTCCTGTTAGGGGAAATAGATGGTGGTCAAAACAACCAAAAAGAACACCCATGCATGTGGCTCTCTTCAGAGGAAGTTTTGCCATCACCGGCCCCTCAGGCTGAGGCAATGCCAAGAAGTCCTCCGAGGCCTTCCCACGACTTCCCCAAGCAAGTCTTCCCGGTGCTGGTGCGAGGGTCCGTGGACTCAACCCGGCCCCGCGGCGCCAGGTACTCCTGTTACCGTATACCTACATGTCTATATTATACGCATTTTTATGCACATTGTGTGTTTTCTAGCAATACGTGTTTACTCACTTTCACAAGTACCTGCGAACAGGGCAAGACCGATGATCCAGGGCCTCTCATGCACTGCCATCAAGACCCAAATGAGTCCCTCCCCCGCCTTCTGAAACTTGGAGAAGTCCTGGGTGGCGAAGGTGTTGATCAGCATCGCGGTTCTGCCCACCTGAAAAACAAACCAGCATTGACCCCGAGCAAGTGCGCACATCGGCTCTGGGCAGCCAAATCTCGCTGTCAAGTCAAGGACAAGGCATTGCCTCGCGTGGATGGATAAATAAAAATTGTTTTTTGTTTACTTTTTTGGAACAACCAATTTCACAAAGTTTTGTCGCAGCTTTGTGTTCAGTGTCCTGGATTCCCAGAAAAGTGCAAGTAAGTCTCCGCAGACCAGGCCCGCGTCAGCAAGCACAAGCAGGGAGACAAGTGGACACTCCGCATGGTGGTCAAAAGGCACAGCCCCCAGATGTAATTTTGAGACCCCCAAAATCGGACAAAGTGACCCTGGACACCCATGCCTATGAATTTTACTAGGGAAGCACCTCAAAAGTGGCTGGTGGACAACAGTCCCCACCTAGATCTGAATTAGAAGTCTGTGAAGGTTGAAAGTCTGAACAGCTCCCTTTCCCGCTAAGGAGGACATATGCGTGAACCGTTGCTATCACGCAGAGTGCGAGGATCCCACAGGCAGTATGCATGCTTGCACGTCTCGATCGGCCAATTTGCATGTGGTTGCCAACTCGTCCTGGGTGTTATGTACCTGGCATGTTGGTTCCATGTTCAGATGCTTTATGTCGTTGGGTCCGTGGTCGGTGATCGCAACATATGCCCATTAATGTTAGTTTTCTCTTGCGCCATGCTTTGGAAAGTCTTGAATGTTTGTAGTTTGAGGTTTCCATGAAGGTCTGAACTACTTTCTGGTTGGTCCATGCTCGATCTACATACGTAGGTGGTACCTGCAATATACAGTACATCGGAGTATGTTCATTTGACATACATCAATGCGATCTTGTTCCGTGCGTATTACGGTGGTTGTATCGGTTCTGGGCCATATAGCAGTTTGCTAAAACCACTGAGTTTCCATGTCTGTGCGGTTCTTGCTTTTGACCGGACAACTCTATTGGCCTCTCCGATCTTGTCTAAAGATTTCCTTATGGTTGTCTACAATATCTGTAAGTGTGGCACCAAGATAAACTGCCCGTGTATTTCGCGGAACGTAGGAGCCGTCAAGAAACCTTACTGATTATTGGCGTTGGTTGATTGTCAAACTATCACATTTAGAAAAGTTGAGTTGTACATTGTAATCTTTGAGGATCAGACTAAATCCTAAGCAAACGTTTGTGAAATGTGCGGGTGTGTGTGTGTGTGTGTGTTCCAAAGATCAAAGCCACAAGCGCGTAATATTCCACAATATTGCAATCCTTGTGTAGGCTCCTTGCTTTCAGCACATTCTGTACATCCTGAAAGATGACAGACAGTAAAATGCGGAAAAGGTATGGAGAAAAGTGGGCAGCCTTGTCTTCTACCTGATTTCTGACATGTATATTCTGGAGCAGGGGTACCAAAGGCAAACCATCTCGCGACTGGGAGCAATTGAGCATTGGCCTTTGCTGTCTCAATCTGCGCCTTCCCTGATACCATTTGTCGGATTTTCGCCGCCTGGAAAAGTTGTAGACAATGCTGGATTCCCTCAACTCCAGACCGGATAAATCGGCCCAGGCGCATTCCAAATGGCTTTCTGCCGTTCCACCAGCTCCTTGTCCAGGCTTTTGCCCTCCTCCTCCGAAAGCTAAGCCGACACAATGGGGGAAGAAAGCATAAATCCGTTTCAAGGACGGGATGACACAAATGAAGCCCAAAGCAACACTATGGAGGCTCTTCACGGTTCAGGGAAATTGAGATCGGAACGAATTGGCAAGTGATCGCAAGATGTGTGAGAGGGCTGGTACCCTTGACAGTCGCTGCTTGGACCACACTTCACGACTCAGGTTTGGCAACTGAAGAGAAAGCACCACAAAAACATTGCCTGTTCAATTGCCTCCCATCTTAGTCAAATGCAGCTCCTTGCCATCTGGAACGAAGAGGCAAAGAACCAAGCCGTGGGGAATCGGTACCTTGCCAACAGAAACGTCCAATGCCTCACACTTAGAAAAGCTTGAATGACAAGCCCCTCTGAACGGCTGCAGGAAGGGTGCACCCGCGTAGGCAGACACATGCACACTCTCGCTCAGCACACTCTGCACAAGTCCGAGGTGTAGACCCGATGGGACAGCATCCCGCTGGAAGTGTGGATGCCAATCTGCCAAGCACGCAGCTTCTCTATTGAAATCCAAGATCAAACACCGGTCGAGGGCACATAAGCCCAACGACAAACAACCAACAACACCAGCCGCCACCCATTTTTGTAGTACTGATTTAGCAGCAGATGCAGTCTTACCCACCGACGCTCTTCAAGTATGCTATACGTCAAACAATCCGCAGTGGTTGCAGATGGTTGGTGCTTTGTGGTGTGTTGGGTGCTGCAACACACAAAAGCAAGGCACAAATCCCCCGTGGCTGCATGTGAGCCGGAAAAGTGTATGCAGAAAACACAAAGCAGTACCAATGAGGCAAAAGAGGTGCAACGGCGGCACCAACCAACCAATATCCAACCGCCAACCACCAACCATCAAGCGAACCACCAAAGCCAACACGACCACCACAGTCGACAACGAAGGACAAACACACAAACGGCCGACAACACCGACGACAACGAGAACGACAACGAGAACGACAACAGCAAACAAGCAAGCAAGCAAGCAAGCAAAGAAACAAAGAAACGAAGAAATGAACAAACAAACAAACAAACAAATATACAAACAAACAAACAAACAAACAAACAAACAAGCAAGCAAGCAAGCAAGCGAGGAAGGAAGCCAACAAACGATAAAAAGAAACAAAATCTAAACAAGCAAACACACAACAACGGCAGCAGCAACAAAAAAAGCAACCGCGAATCAACATCAACATCAACATCAACATCAACATCAACGTCATCATCATCATCATCATCATCATCATCATCATCATCATCATCATCATCATCATCATCATCATCATCATCCTCATCATCATTATCATCATCATCAACAACAACAACTACAACAACGACGGGGGTTTCATGGTCCTGCTTAGACCAAAAACACATTCTTGGCATTGAAACTTTTTATCTGATGAAATGGTCAGGCGTTGGAGTCCACCCTGAGTCCTGCAAGGCCCCGTAGATCGCGGGACACCTGACAGCACGCGCGGCATGGCATCTTGAATGCACGGCGCTGGTGTTCGATGGAGACATTTGAAAGGCAAACCCTCCTAGCCCAAAGCAGCCTCGTTTTGAGGCTACATGTGTACATATATATACACATATATATATATATAATATAAATACTAGACGTAGTTTACATGGATGGATGGATGGATGGATGGATGGATGGATGGATGGATGGATGGATGGATGGATGGATGGATGGGTGGGTGGGTGGGTGGGTGGGTGGGTGGTGGGTGGGTGGGTGGGTGGGTGGGTGGGTGGGTGGGTGGGTGGGTGGGTGGGTGGGTGGGTGGGTGGATGGATGGATGGATGGCTGGATGGGTGAATGGATGGATGGATGAATGGATGAATGGATGAATGGATGGAGTGACCCTCAACAAGCTTCATCAGGACAACTCAGGTTGGAGATCAACGCGCTGCTTTCACGCAGTGGGAAAGGGCGGTGTCATACTCTAGTTAGGCGCGCAGCTATGAAACAAAATGCCATGGATGTCCTGCATATGGGCAAGCTGACCTCGCGAGGGTACACCCTCCTGCGAGCGTTTTCTCATCTAATCCCTCTGGGAATAAGCCAGAACCACACCGGGGGCAGGACACGGGGTCAAGGTCCAATGCTGACCTACAAGTCACCATTGCCGAGTAGCTTCGAGGCCCCGACACATTGCCGGGGTTCCACCCACGGGCAATCGTCCTGCAGATACGCCACATGTGCTGGTCATGTGTAGCCGTGTGTAGCATTCCCCAGAGGCGAAATGATCTGGAGACAAAGAAGAAAAAAGGAAAATGTGCACCAAGCCTTTGAAAAACAAGCTCAATAGCGTGTCCCACATTACGTCCCAAAGTTCAAGCGGGCAACGAATCCCAATGGGTCCAAACCTCGCAACTTCTTTATGAGACCTTAGCGGCTAAGCGCCCCGGCGCTTGTAGCAGCGCATCCACACCAGCAGTACTCGTGGGCCTGTAGACATCTACCTGAGAGACACACAAAACGTTGCAGCACGCTGGGCCTAAATGCAGTGTCTTTGTGCGTGGTTGTCGGTGTATCCCTGGCTCGTTGAACAATAGCTGGACTTCAAAGGCGGAACATGAGTTCGAGACACACGTGGTGCGCGTGCCCAGGTCAACAGTGATAAAGCTACTCCTACAGTGGACTAAATTCTCCGGCAGGTTTAGCCAGAGAGCAAACCCAACCCTAGAGCAAATCCAAGCCTAGTGACACCGAACGATGTGAGCCTGGCAGAAAATCTAATCAAATATGCCCATGTCAAAGATTAATGGCTTGGATAATAGTGGATGCAGATATAGAATATCTAGAGATCAAGACATCAGAGACAAAGCATTCACGGCTTAGATATAGGCAGGGTCATAAAGGGCGTAATTGTCACTTGATCTCGGAAAGAGCCAGCGCTTGACTTTTCCTGCCCTCGTCCATTAAGTACATTATCACTGTGGCAAGCACCAGGGGAGGAGGGCAACGCTACAAGCGCGCAGCAGAGCGGGTTGCAAGCGTGCATCAACATGTTAGCAGAGATCATGCAGCGGACTTCGAATCGTTTCGTCGCGCAGAAAAGATCTAGGGCAGCCAATGGCCGTGATGGCCTTCCTTGCGCGTTCCAACCACATAAAACTTACATGTCAAGAAGCCACTTCGCACAATCAGTGCGAAAGCACTTTGATAAGCTTAACGACAACCACCAAACAAACAAGCGCTAGCCACCACCCCCTCATTCCATGGGTAGATATCTAGACAGATATCTAGAATCTAGAATCTAGACCGGAAGGTGCAGGAGTCATAATGGGAGAGACCCAGAGATCTCGGCTTGACATCTTCACCCACAAGGCAGCCACGGCTGCCAAACCATCATAACGACTACAAAGACAAATCGACGAAGTGTCGTCGCCCGGAAGCTACGCAAGCACCATTTGCGTGGTGAAACTTAAGGCTGCGATGACGCAGCAAAAAAATGTGTGTCCAATCTTCATGGCAAAGTACCGTGCTCCCTCTCGAAGTGGCAATGCACATGCACTCATGCAAACAGTGCACATCACAAGAGCACGCATGCGGCTCAATCAATCGTAAGGCGGTTTCTCCAGGAATGTTCCTTGCATGCATGTTCGCCGTGAACGCTTGCGAGCATGGCACATCCAATCCAGCCTTAAGCGTGATGGGAAACGCCGTCCACTAAGATCCAAAAGGCAATGTGCGGTCCACTTCCCATTTTCAAGGCTCCGGCCAAATCCACGCTCCCCGTGGAGGTGGTGCGATCCAAGCGCGCGGAAATGGCTTCCTGCGCAAGGCCTCGCCCCTTCAGGCGTGAAAGGGGCGAGATGTACAAAACCGAGAGCGAACAAGAAAGGAGCTCCGAAGTCTTCCAAAGACATGAGGTCAGCGAGTCCAGAACTCGAGCTGAAGCAATGGCTTTGGGATGTTTGGTGTCCTGCCGCATTTGCCGGGCCCACAAAATGGCGGTCGTTTCCGCGCCCGCCTCCGCAGCGGAGAGTTGGCGCAGCTCCTGACAAAGTGGGCCCTAAACCCAAAGAGCGGCGCTTCCCGCAATTGAACAGGAGCCCTCGGAGCGGTCCAAAGCTTGTTGCAGGGGCTACTCGGCAAACTACGCTGGATCGGCTTCGCATCCCGACCCACTTCAGATGCGGCTTCCCACAGGCTTCATTCACCTCAAGGAATGAATCCTACCAAGCAGAAGCTTCAATTCCTGGCTTTGCGTAAACACGGGTCCCGTTTCTTCGCTCCGGGTTTCTCTGCGTCGAGTCTCCGAAAACCGTCCTCGGCGCAAAGCACGGAGCCGGCCAGGAAGCCGCCCACGAAGGAGGCGCTGGAGGCGCCCAGGCCCTTTGCGCGCGCCACGAAGCCAAGACGAACCAAGCCATTTGGCGGTGGGTCAAAAATGGGGTAGCTCCGAAATGGCTTGCCCCAGAAAATGGAAACAAACAACTAAAACCTGCGTAACCCTGCCTCTTTAATTTAGAGCCACACCCATTTGGAGGGTCCCTGCTTTTGCACATGAGTTGACGGACAGATCAGGGTGACTCGTAAGAGATCTCGTTCACTGTTTCTAAGCTGCCATTTGGCTAAGGAAAAACTACGGGCTCCCTTTCTCGGAAGATAGTTTCTTTTTACTCGGCCTACTCAAAAGTTCGCATCCTGGCAGCAATTTCTAGGACGCCCAAAGGTATCAAAGATCCACAGTATGATTTGGGGGGTTGATCTCCACGCCGGAAAAGGCACCCCCAAAGAGGGAGCCGCAAGGCTGAAGGTTGGACAGGCTTCCACTTCCACGCGAGCATCGACAATTCCCATTCCATACCACCCCCGAAATGGTGGCCACTGGAACTGATGGGCACAAGGGTAAAAAGTGCACCTGAGAGAGTGTGGTTGGCATGTGCCACACCGTCCGTACGAATTACCTGAGATTTCCGCTGCTCAGACAAGCTCGCAATGCTTGGTGTGATTGCTAGCTGTTGTCACAACAGCGCCTCGTGAACAGAACACAACATGAAAGCCATGGTATCATGAAAATGCCAGATGGTGGTGGTAGCGTTGCTGCAGCTCAACACTATTCTCCAACCGCTTCCCCTTCCATCCGCCTTGTCAAAAGGTATGCGGTGTTCGCAGATGAAGCGCAAAGCCGGCACTGGGCGACCAGCTTCCTAGCAATGTTTGTGCGTCCAGTGAGCGACGACAAGAGAAGACAACATCCAACATCTGCTCCCTAAAGGAAAATAAACATGCCTGAGCACAGCATGTACTGGTACAAGTCATGGGGCAAGTGTGTGGTGTGTGTGTGTGTGTGTGTGTGTGTGTGTGTGTGTGTGTGTGTGTGTGTGTGTGTGTGTGTGTGTGTGTGTGTGTGTGTGTGTGTGTGTGTGTGTGTGTGTGTGTGTGTGTGTGTGTGTGTGTGTGTGTGTGTGTGTGTGTGTGTGTGTGTGTGTGTGTGTGTGTGTGTG